CAGTAATTGTATAAAAGAGCAAAAGTGAGGTTTCAGGCACTCTGATAATCACCCAGTCTTTGCCAAAAAGCACACTAAAGGTAGTGTGGAGAGAAAATAAAAGAAGGGGGGGTCGGAAAGACGGAGAGAAGCCAGAAAACCTTGACACAGGAGAATCAGCTGTGTGCTGGAGCGGTCAGGCTGAGAGGGGCCTGGCTGCGCTCAGATCAGTCCTGTCCTGCAGCTCGGAGCAGAACCCGGCCATAATGGAATCTGACAGGATGTAAATTAGTTTTTAAAAGAGCGGTTGAAAGCTGGTCATTTTTCTCATTTAGTGGTCCAGTGTGTTGGCCCGGTCCCCAGCTGTCACCCGAGGCCCTGCCTTTTCCGAAGATACCGGGGGGGGGGGGGGGGGATCACCATACAGTAGCAAACCATGATTACTTATGCCACATAGCTCACACACTCTACCTGCACTGAAAAAACTGAAATGTTGAATTGGTTGACTTAATACAATCAATTCAAGTCAAAGTTCAGTTTTCCAGTTTTTCAAGTAGCATTTAAAGCATAATATAGTTTCAGTATAAAAATAATGTTTAAACAGTATCTCGTAAAAAGTGTCTTAAAAGTCATAGTAGCCCATAGTAGTCTATAAAGATGTGATGACATTTTGATTATACAGCGTGCCATAAAATGTCATAACAAAAGTCATTAGATTATACGCCATAAAAAAGTCAATACATTAATAGTATAGCCTACCATTAAAAATGCTATAATTAAGTATGCCGTAAAATATCATAAAACATGTGATAACATTATCGTAGTTTGGTCTCTCAAATTGTCAAGACACACATTGTGTGGGCCCTGACCGTAACATGCAGTTTTAGGAATTTGCTATTTCCAAAATGTAGCTTTTTTGTATAGGTTACTTTCATCCTCATTTGGCAACTTACAGCCATTACACACGTTCAATGTTAACTCCTATGTGCTACAGTTCAATAAGGTGAATGGGTAGCTATCAATTCTGTCTTCGTTTAATATTTCACAATTTCTATTTTAAGTATAATACGTAATTTGAGTCCATTTCCATGGCAACTACAAATGAAGCACCTCAGAATGACTCACATATAGGGCTTTACAGATGTGTATCTGTCCATTTAGAGGAAAATAAACATTAGCTCTCCATTTTTATAAATGTTAAAAAAACTCAATAAAGCTTATATTTAGGACAGTGTGTCGTATGCTGTAAAGCCCTCTGAGAAAAATGTGTAATTTGTGATGTTGGGCTGCATAAATAAAACATGACTGATTGGTTGACAACACGCTATAAGGATTATGTTTCTACCATTAATTGCGTTATGATGAAAAGCAAACCCCCGCATGATCTTACCAGGTATCCCCGGCGCAGTCCCCTCACCAGGAAGCTCTCAGCAGTACCAGTGCAGCATTAATGAGCAGCCATAATGACTAGAGGCAGTTAGTTAGAGTTAAATGGAGCCTGAACACCCAGCTGACAATGAACCATCCACCGGTTGATCAGGGGGAGGAAAGGCAGAGGCCTGGAGCTCTGGAGCTTAACCTGAGACACACACACTCACACACACACACTGCAGCGAGGCGCTCAATGGGGCACAGGGTGAGGACTGCGTTGCTGGAGATCTACTCTCATTAGCTTCTGATCTCAGTGTGTCAGACTGCTTCATTTGTTCCTGTTAGTAAACTACCAAGTAAAGTGTGGAAATATCCATGTTTGATTATAACAAGATGATAAAAGATGATAATACGCAGCATTTGTGATGTTCTTGCTTATGACAAATTGTTTTAACTTTAAGGTATGTTGTTATTCTAACACTCTTCTTGGTCAAGTTATTAACAATTTGCACACTGTGGATTCTAATTGGTCTTTAGTTTGAACAACAAGGTTTGATTCTCTTAAAAACTGTACAACTGTTTAAACGCTATATACATCTAGATTTCATATTTGCATGTGCATTAAAAAGGCGTCTTGTATTTTCTGTGTGCTTTTTGACGTTGTGCAGGTAGCCTACAGTGGATCTATCAAAGCTTTAATTAAGGGTTTAAAAAACTCTCAATGTTTTATGAGAATGGTGAGAACAAGCTAAATTGAACAATAAAAAATAAACTATAAAGGCTGGAACCCTCACTAGAGCTTAGAAGAACTGCAGACTGTGATAATTATCCTCTGATTGCTTCTGCGAGTGACCCCTTCCACATTACTCACAGCTATTTGGTCATAAAACAATATTGATTACAGTATAGCAGCTTTAAAGCATTAGATGTTCCTGTTAATTAGCATTCACTGTGTAAAAACAACAATAAAAGCTAACTTCAAACACTAGTTGACCTACATGTATTATCTGCCATTAAAATGATAGAAATGATGGAGGAACCTGTTTTACAACCACATGACTCGGCATTAGTTCTTATGTAGCTGCTGTCACCCTCTGAGGTAATGTTGTGTCTCTCATTGCCCTAACCTTGACAGATTATTGGCTGCGCTGAGAGAACTCGAACCAGCTTGAGAAATATTGGCAGGGGAAGGCATCCTCGTGAGGTAAGCAGCTGTGCTTGCCATATTGCGTATCGATCCACCTTGCGATGTGATGGCTGCACTTAATTGGATTTATATTGTAAACAAAGACTCACAGTATGAAATTTGAATTAGCAGATAAATGCTATCCATCAAAGCAAATAATAATATGTTGTGCAGTGGGATGCAGTATTGGTATTTGGGAGATTTATCAGCGCTGTAAACGGAGGCAGACTCTTCTATCAGGTTTACTGGGTAGTCTCTGCAGGAGCTGCTCTCTGACGGACACACGGGCCGACCAATAAACAGACCTGCTGGAGTGCAAACACATAGGGGTGCTTTCACATAGTCCCCCAGAAAAGAGAAACAAATGCGGCTTTGAAGCTTAAAAGAGGACAAAATACACCTGAAATATACTATATATAATATAATATACTAACTGCATTGTATTAGAGTAGATATGACTCCCTAATTTAAACTCTACAGGTCTCCTTATTGCTCCTGCTTATAGTCTTGACTTTAGGAAACCCCGCATTATCCTGTCCTAAATGTACTAATCAAATATAACACATGTAGAGGCTGAAGGTACAAAACCTTAAGGAAAACCAGACAAATTCAATCCGATGCAATTGAAATCTTCTCCCCCGTTTCTTCCCCCCACAGTCAGTCGCTTACTAAGAGAAGAAAGCCCCTCGGTACTTTAAAGTCTCAATTCCAGGTCCAGATATGTTTCTATTTGCAGAGTTATGTGGAAGGACAGCAAGATCCTTGTTAAATCTCAGAGTGCATACAGGTTCAAACTAGGATTTAGATAAGAGTTGTTAACACATTACTTGTTTACATTTTTTAGACAGTCTATACTGTAAATGTCTTTCAGATTCTTCAACATCTATTCTGAGACTTTTTTCATGTTTTGCAATGTTGCAAAATGCAAAATGTTTTTGTTATTTTTTTGACACAAATGTTCCTTTTTTTCGTATGAACCTACTCTGACATTTGTTCAAATATTTTACTGAGCTGTATTGAAAAGCCATATGACAGCATGTATCATTGTAAATAAGAAATGTATAGCTACTAGTTGCACGTTATACATATTTTCAACTTCTTTCAATATGATGACCTGTATGAACTCTGCTGTGGCTGGGGGGGGGGGAAGGGGTCGTCCTCTTATCACACTGTTGGTGGTTTGATTCCCGCCTCCTCCTGTTTGAATATCAGCGTCATTGAGCAACACACAAACCCCAATTGCACCTCATCTCCGCCACCAATGGTGTGTGAATGGTTGAATTAGAGGCACTTCATCCAGTAAGGTTAAAAAGAGGCTGTAAAAATGCAGCATATTTCTATTTATATATAAAAATGTAACACCTTTATCTCGTTTTTAAATGAGCATTTCTCAATTATATTTCCAGTCTCACCAAAAATGTGTCATGATTTGCCAGAGCTTTTATGTTCATATTGTTTTATAATCACTGCTGACCGGTAAAGCTCATTGAGACGTTACCATTGACTTACCTTGGATGACATATTTTCTTGGTACCTTGTACAGAAATGTTGTGAATTTTTCAAACCTTAATTTCATCCTTACTGTAAATATTAAATGTTGATGTTTATAAATGTTGTCCGTCTGTCGTCTGAGCTGGGATTGGTTGAATCCTCCGTGAACCACAACAGGATTGGCCGTTCATCCTTCTGAAGTTCTCCTCTGCTGTTTGGTAAAGCAGGTTTTCGTTTTTCTGATACCTGTTGAAAAAACATATTCACAACTGAACCATTTCTACCACAGTGTTGTTGACTGATTGACCAGAAACAGATTCAGACTTTTACGTGGCTTACTTCGAGGAGGATACACACTAGAAAAAACCCACTTGAAATGTTTAAGATGGCGTTACAAAGGCTATCAAATAGTTTCGTATTTTTAGTTTTAGAAGGAGAAGGATAAACAGAATGATGTATGTATTACTTTTTCAGAAACAAGCTGTCTCCATTGTCCATTAATGGGAAATGTATTATTAATAACACCAGTCATGTTCTGATTCCCCTTTATATTATCTTATTATTTTACCTGCTAAAAAACATATCATTTCCCAGTGTCTTTCCCACCTTTTTATATTTTCCTCTGAGCAGGATTTCATGTCCGATATCATCTGGCCATTTTATCACCTGAAGAATAAATCTTTCCCACTTTGAATCACTTTCTTTGTGACCGAACACATTCAGAGTAAGATCATGTGAATGTTCCCTTGATGACCATCTAAACTTGCAGTGGACGTTTCTTTTTCATGTATTTAATTTATTCTTAAAATATTCCATGATAAAAAAATGTATGTAAATGACTCTAATACTTCTGCAATGCTTCCTCTGCTTTCTCTCTGTCTCTCCCGTTTGTGTTCATCTCTGTCGCAGAGAGGCCAGATTTGTGCGAGAACAAACACAAGCACAAAAATAAATTAAGAGATCAAAACCCATAGAGAGGAAATGAGTCAGTATTCCACACCGTGTACAATACAATATCATAGCAAATTAGCAGATTTCAATGGCTTCCACTACCATAGATTTACAATGTTCAGTTGGCTGCAGATCAGTCCTCGATAAATTGTGTCACTTTTTTTTCATTAATGGTTCTGATAGACAGTGATTTGTAGATGACCATGAAAAGAAAGCAGCTACTGAGGTGTGAACAGAAAACCTGGGACTAAGAGCCAGCAGTCATGAGAACAACAGCATTTGTTCACATCCTACTAAACTGCCATTGTGACCACATTTTAAGTCTGATAAGCTTCTCTACAAAGGTACAACATATAAAACTGTTAAATATATAACTTTTTAGGGCCTTTCAAAATACATTTAATGACATTTCTTCACTCCTTCTTTTCAGACTCCATAGCATTTATACTCTCTGTAGATGTCATCAACTCTTTGATATGATTTGCGCTCCTGATCCAACTCGACGTCGCTTCCTGCAAAGTGTCCCAACCGTAGCTACTGAAAAATGCAAATCAGATTTTTTTTTTTTTATACACAGTTATACGTATGTAGTACCTATATCTCCAGTTTCAAAATACAGTGGTGGGCTTAGTCTGAGAAAAAAAAACGTCTGGAAAGTTTTAAAAGTACTCCCGTGATTGTGCCACCGGACGCCATGGCGACACAAACAGCAAGTTCACAAAGTCTCCGTGTGTCTTTGTCATAATGATCACAATTGTTCTTTTGTTCTTTGGTCTATAAAAATATGGGAGGTTTACTCCAGCAGAAGGCCTATTCACAGCAGAGAGCGCTCAGTTTTGTTTTGTAACGGCCTCGCGAGGTGGTCCGAGAAGCAACAGGGTCCGGTATGTCTTCGCTCTGGAACTCCTGCTCTAGAGGCTATGGAGAGATATGTGAGAAATCCCTTGTTCAAGCACTTCCAAACACATTCCTTCCAATGAGGCAAAAAACCATTCGTGGGATCTTTGAAGGTGCCCGATGCTCCGTGGCACGAGCAGGCACTGCTTATTTCACAGAGCAGGCAGATAGAGCGGAGAGGAGGTCGACGCTTTGACCCAACGACAGAGAGCAGGAGAGAGCAGTGACGAGCCCGGGAGGGGGGGGGAAGTGGTTTACAGCGAGTCGTTTGTCCAGAGTCCGGGGGCGAGCGCGCTCCCTCAGACAGTCACCGCCGGGTTTGCCCAAATCTGGCTGTGTTATGAGACCTGTGAATCAACGAGAACAGAGCATCAGGGGAGCGCACATGGACAGTCACAGTCTTTGCAGCTCCTGACAGAAGGTAAATCACTATTAATGCAATATATTATTTCTACTGCTTCAAGATTCAAGGCTTTTATTGTCATGTGTGCATAGCTACAGTGTAGTTATGACAGTGAAAATCTTAGGTCACAGGCTCCTCCAACAGTGCAACACAATAAAACAGTGCAAGTAAATGAAATAAAATAGAATATAATAGAAATAGTGCAGAATATATGTTGCAAAAGTTGTACATTGACCACTGTTTGTTTTAAAAATATTAATGGCAATAATGTGCTTTTAATCTTGAATGCAGCAGGTACGCTCATCTTTTGTTAAACAGTTGAAATCTAAGTTATAAAACCTGTGCACTATAAGCTGACCTTATAGCTTGTTCTAAAAAAATTGCACAAAATATAGCATTTTATCAGTAAACTTGAGGGGTTTAGTGCTTGCTGCTTTCCCCACTTTTCTAGGCTTTTTTTGCTAAGCTAAACTAACTAGCTGCTGACTGTAGCCTTACATTTATTATTCATTCAAAAAAGTGTTATTCATCTTTGCAACTAACTTCTGGCAAGAATATTTCCCAACATTTTTTGGAAATAAAAGTTTGTCTTTGCAGTAAGTGCCTCACCTCTTTGTCATATAACCTTCAAAGAATAGTTTGATATTTTTACAAAATATTTATAGAGACAAGAGTTATAATTAAGCAATAGCTCACGACAGGCCGTGGTATATGCTCATTATATCACAGCTAAGGGGCGTGGTTCGGCCTGACGCGACGCGGAGGGTCGACAACCTAAGAACCAATCAGATTGCTTGATTTGACTTGTCCGTTTTATAAGACAAGATTGATACCACCATTACGTCTGTACGCTGAATATAAAGCTTAGCATAAAACATGGAAATGGAGAAGCTAACAGGCTATATTTTGTTTGTCTATTCCTTACAAAAACCGGCAGCCTATTGTTATTTCCTCCTGCTTCCAGTCTTTATGCTAAGCTAAGCTAACTAGCAGCTTTTCGATGCAAATGATGACCAAACGTTATTGTCAGGTCGAGATTAAACTGTTTTGTGCATCATAGCAGCTCCATTCGCAACAATATCATAGAAATACATCGAAGACAAGAAGCAATTATAAAACAGACAAGTCAAATCAAGCAATCTGATTGGTTCTTAGCCGTGATATTCTGAGCGTATACCACGGGTAGAATTGTAAGTTACTTTTCATAACAAGTCAGTATCCCTCCGCGTCTGAGAAAAACAGTATACCGTTGGGCAGAAAAGCAAACTGCAAACTGGAACAAGAAAGCAGCGGAGAAGTAACGGGCAGAAACCCTCCTTTTTGAGAAGGTCCTCGCTGCGGAACGCGGAATGGGGCGGGGTCGGATAAAAGGCGGGGTTGGATGTCCGACCCCGCCCAGAGAAGAGTTACGACATCTCCGTTCACCAGTTTTTTACAGCAATGGCGGATCGTGGAGCCTCTCAATAGTTCCCCGGAAGTTAGCTTGCTGCTAATTTCCGGGAAACTATTGAGAGGATCTGCGGCTAGCAGCGCAGTAGAGTTGTAGCATAATAGACCGTTCGTGATGGACTTTTAAAGGTAAGAAGACGTTTAAAGATTTATATTGCGGATATTATCAGAACATCTGAATCAAATTAACTACACATGTGTATTAATGGATGTTAGTGGATTATCCCTTCAATCAGTATATTTAACGTTTACAGATAACAGATTAGGCTAGAATGCCGGATAGAGTTAGCAACACAGCCTATTAATCCGTTCTCCTCATGTTATTTCCTCCAACGTTGTGGAATTAGAGAAAAGGGGCTTCTTAACGTGCTTTTATCCGGGGTGGAGGGAGTTACATATTAGTTAAATATAACATTGGGGCGTGTGATTGTAGTGGGTGGAGGTGGTGAAATGAGGATATCCATTTTGGAGTTCAAGCTAGTATAATATAGTTCACGTTACACAATAATAAGGAAGAGAGCTATTTTTGTGATACATCGCTATTGATATGGATTTAGAGTGGATATTTGAGACTTCTAAACAGTAAACAAAAACATAACTTATGGGTGAGTGTTTTTAGCAGAGTCATATTATGTCTTTGTGATTCTGTTGATTATTACCTGTCTGTATTATGTTGCAGCTCAGCTGTTGGATTGATGGCAAACGGAGAGGGATTTAAGTGAGAGTGAAAACACAAGGTACGTTTAAAATAGGTCCGCAATTTCCCATCCTATAGGTTGCTAGATGTATCTAACCCTTTCTCCTGTCTCCCTCTCTCAGCACAAGAACCCCAGGGGGATTCAATGGAGCCTGAAGACCTGCAATGAGACCCTCACCCTGCACCTGAGTCTCAACTCCCAGAGCTTTGCAAGCCTCTCCCTGTTCCTTATTTGTATTAAACAGACGTTAAGCTTCCCAATGGTGTGGTCTTCGTTTTGTGAAAAATATGATTACCTCACATATGTTGTTGCTGTTGTTGTCTTTTGTGATAGTTAAATTGCTCCTGCTGACTTGAGCCAGCCATTCTTTCCTCCTCTCTGTGTCAGTGGGGAAACCTTACATTCATACTCCTTTCTCTGAGCGATTGGAGCATCCCCAGGCAGCACAGCAAACCATGGGGGAGACGATATGCCAGGACAACACGGAGGAAAAGGCACAGACAAACTGCATGCATGCTATTCAATGTTTATTGAATTCCATTTATTTACTGTCAGTTGACAATCATTGATAGGCACCTGCCGGTCTCCTGTCCTTTCTGAAAGTCATAAAGAAGACATTACTCATTTAGATTACTTATGTCCTCAATTACCAGGGGATTACTGAAACCACCATGAATTAAAGAAATTGTAGAAATGAATCTGACTTTTGAAACCTTCCTTCCCTCCCTCTAAATATATCAAACATTAGGATGTGATGCTCCTGACTACCATTCAAGTTTAAGAAGATAATATTTGTTTTAAACGATTCAAAGCAATAAACAGCAACAGGCTCTTTAACAAAGGCAACGTTAGCCTAACATGTATATGTTAACAGGTAAGATAGCTGTTCACACTAGGTATATTTTCTGCTATTTTATTTCTATTTGAGATGTTTACATTTTCGATTGTTTAATTCTAGTCTTTTAACTGTCTTATGTACAATGCCTTGTCTTTTGCTGCTTTGCTTTGCTGCTTGTGTGCGTCATAATTACACATTCAAAGCATCTTGTTGCAAAGCAGCACTATAAGAATAGTAAATGTACAGTGTAGTAGCAATGCATAAACTATTTCTCTTCTTCCTAGGAGAAGCACCCCTTTATAAGTAGTGCTATGGCGGCATCTCAGTGGTGCTCTGCAAAGAATATGGGAGATAAAGTCATCCTGCCACAAATTCTTTCCATGGCCCCACTGGACAGAGAAGCAGCTCTCCATAACCTTGGTGAAGCCAGCAACCTGCGGGACGAAGACAGCTGGGAAGACAGGATGGACCCATTTATGTTCAGTTTAAATTTGAGTCGGACTATTTAATGTTTTTTGAGCAGTGCATTGACAAAGAAAACCTTAAGGTTCATGCCTGTTTTGAAGAGCGCGGTTGAATGTTTGCATCAGCAAAGCCTTTCACTGTTGTATAGATTTTTTTTTTGTGTACTTGGTTTGGTTTTTATATTTACTGTATTTGCTTTTTCGGTTCTGTTATCTTAATGATTGTTCTGTTATATGATAAATGTTGTAAATAATAAATGCTTTTTCTATCATTCTATGAAATGCAGTGCAATGTATCATTTGAAATATATGGACTAGATATGAGTATGCACAGAACTGACTCAATGAATAATCAATTAAAACAAATATTAAATAATATACTTAAATACACTAATATATCAATTAAAACAAATATTAAATAATGAACTTAAATACACTAATATAGAAAATATGACTTTTTATACCACATATTTAAATACATTCATGCATTTAATTAGTATGAAGTTTTTATATTTAGTTTTTAAATTATATTTAGTCGAGTGCAGATTAATTATATTTAGTCGAGTGCAGATTTGTATTTGTACTTATTGTAGTTGTCCAGCAGATGATGCTGTTTGTGTCATTAGGATATCCATACACCCCGCCCATCGGACGTCCAGCCCCGCCCACATCCGACCCCGCCCCATTCCGCGTTCCGCGGCCAGGGCCTATAGTCCTTTTTACGCAGCGGTCCAGACATAGACATCAAACGGCAAAACATATTCAGTGTGCAGTTCCTTTGGCATTAGGGCAGGGATATCTAGATACTTTCCAAGGTTTGACATGAATTGTGCTACTTTTAAAGCAAGCAGCGATGTTTTCAAATCTGTAATCAAAAAGGTCCGCAATAACGCTATCGACCAATCAGATTGCTTGATTTGACTTGTCAGTTTTATAAGTAAATTTAAATTTCTTCCGTTACGAAACAAACTTACAAAGCATAAGATGGAAACATTTAAGATGAACTTTGACCTCCGGGGGGTCTTACTATGGAGGAGTGGATTGAGGAGTGCCTATCTCCAGAGAGCACCTAAAGGACGACATGCAGAGCTACGTGAAGAGCAGGCAGACCAACTGGGAAAGGACCACCATTCAAAAGCTTTCTGATGGGGTCTTGAAACAAAGCAGAGAGATGATGAGCGTTAGTGGCCACAGGTGCAAAGCTCTCTCCAGAGCTACTGAAAGCCCAATCTCGGGGACCGGAGAAAGTGGAGCAATATTCTCACCACGCCAAGCAACAGCCCCTAGAACAACCTCAACCTATACAAGTGACCTCGTAAGCCATGCTACTGATGCTGGACAGTTTTTCAGTGGCTGCACAATAAACAGCAACAAACACATGAATGTGAATAAAGAGCCAGATAATGGATCAACGCTCTCTGTCTAATATGTTCGCTAGCTGTTAGTGTTATTGCATAGCAACCACCTCGCACTATGTTTCGTGCAGAAGACAACGGAGGGACTATTTTACTTTGAACATCATTATTCACTAATAGAAACTATTTAAATTAGTGTGTATTTTTCTTTCATATTACCACACTTGGTAACCGTTTTATAAAAGCAATAGCTCACTTCAGGCCGTGATATATGCTCATTATATCACAGCTAAGGGGGTTGAACCACGCCCCCTAGCTGTGATATAATGAGCATATACCACGGCCTGTCGTGAGCTATTGCTTAAGTATATAACATTGATCATAACATATTGTCAACACCCGTCTAGATACATTTGATTAAGCTCTATTTTCATTTACATTTCTCTTGGCTTTCACGCAATATAAAAGGCAGATATTATAATTGTGTCAATCTTCTTTTGTAACTCCCAGCAAGAAGAACACATTTTAAAGAAAGAAATACTTGTTTTTAGAGGGAATCATTGCACATTGTGTGTTACTATAATGCTTGTGTACACCCATTGCTCCTCACCAATTGAAGGCGTTAATACCACAGTATTCTGGTAGAGTGGTGAAAAAACAACAATTCAACAGCTTACTCTCTGTCAAACTGAAGTGTTTTGCCGGTCACATATTAGGATTCTTCAGCGGGTATAACCCAACAACAAAGCCAGTCTGGCAGAGCAGACACTGAGAAACAATAAATCTCCCAACAGAAAGACAGATCTGGAAGCCTCCCCACCATCTGGCCCCCGCCAGTCACACAGCCAACTTGATGGAGGCACCGGTGCTTTTCAAGACTCTTGAAGTTTATTTCTTCATAATAAACTCTTGATGATTTTACGCGTGGGCTAATTGCCATGAAAGGGGCAGGTGTTGGAGGGAGCTCTAGCATGTTTCACAGATGACAATGTGTGATGCTCTAGCAATAATAAACATCGCAATAAGCTTGGGGATACAAATAAATAATATCACGGTTGTGTTGATGCTAGGCATGAAATAGAGCTACTGTGCTAACTGCTCGGCTTTAAATGCTGCTCAGAAAAATGAAATTCAATCCCAGTACTCTTCCCTCTCAATACCTTCTGTGATTACAGTGGCACCAAATGGTCCAAGTGCCACGGACAGAATCATAAAATAGAAAGATTGTTGTAGAAATCTCAAGGAAATGGAATTCAAAAAGACTGCTGTTTTTCCGATGGTAATTTTTTTATATTCTCTGTAAGGTTCTCTCCCTTTTTTCCTGACAGCCACACTGTTGCAAACGGTTCCCCATAAATCTCCCACACAAATCTCATCTCAGGGAAATGCAAGCGTTCTATTAAAAAAAAAAAAAGGAACGAATGTCAGATAAGAATGAGATGAATTTGGCCCTATGAATACAATTCACAGGCCCGAGGTGATTATTACCTGGGCCTGGGGTTTATCAGGAATCGAGCATATTACTCTATTTTATACCTCATAACAGCGGCAGAATATTCTACATTCTCGCGACAGAGGAATGCAACGCTGAGGTAAATGTGATGCAGAGCCCGTCTGGCTGTAGGACACGTGGGCAAACAGTGAGAACGGCGGGGTCTTGTTATCCAAACAAGGCTGAAAAGAGACTTTTGGAGTGAGACTGCAGGTGTCTTTGTAACAGGAGGGGACATAATCCATCTGTGTTAATGTCCAATTTGTGCAGGCGTCTCTTGTTATGGAGCTAGCAGCCGCTCCACTCAATACATATTGATATGTACCCAGAAGCATTCGATGGAGGACAAGGAAAAACATTTGATTTCAGGGGCGTTACTTAGAACTTCCTATCCCCGGGCCAAGCTGAGATGCTTTGATGTCTAAATAAGTGTGCGTTTGTGCTGCCTTTCTTATGCATTTTGCATTTTGCATGGGCACTCAAGTGAAGGTGCATGCAGCCACATCTGTTAGAACTAAAAGGGAATTATACACAATACATATGGAGGCGCTCTCCAGCTGGGAGCTAAAGCAAAGCACTGAACACATGGCTCCGGCTTGACATTTCCTCCCCGCGTGAACTCGCGCTGACTCGCTCCAAAATGTCACGGCGCTGTGACCCACGGTGAACGTGTGAGTGAGCACGCACAGGGGGAAAATGTATCCGCGTTGCCTCTCCAAACTCTTTATCGAGACTCTGATGGATGTGAATGATGCAGAATCTCAGGAGTGATGCGGCTGATTAATTAACGAATGATTCATCGGATGAGTTTGTACACTGGCTGAAAGCGTCGCCACACTACTGCCGAAAACATCAGCTAATGGGAAAGAGGCTTTTTCTTCTCATCTGTCATTCTAAAGTGCTCACGTGTTCTGCATCTTGTTTCTGGTCCTCGTGCCCTCGCTGTTTATTGGAAAGCCTCGTGTAACTGAGCCCGCTCTCTCTTGGATGCACAATAGCTAGATGAATATTCATAAGTGAACTCGCAGGTTAGGAATGATCCACAGGTTAATGAGGAAAGGGAAATCTCTCATTACACGCCATGAAAGTCGGATTATGCCTGAAGCAGACGCTGAGATCAAAATACATGAACATGTATGCGCAGGCCTCCAGACGCTAGGCCCCATTCCACATTAAGAGAGAGTTCAAAGCTATCGGGGGTGTTATGTCATTATCAACCCTTTCATAACACATCTCTTCAGAACATCAAAGCAAACACAGTTCACTATCTGCTTTCTACAATGTGATCAGAACTTTAATACTCAAGAGGAAACATTAGAGCAGATTTACTGCGTAGGAATTACAAAAGGTCACTGATTTGGTTCATAACTAAAATATGTTCCCCCCCCATTCCCTCGATACACTTTAACGCAAAGACGATGCTAATGCATTGTAAGCTACTGCATAGCATGGCACTGCATGACATCAGATGGTAGCAGGCGATATGGCGTTCTTTTATACTGTACATTATGGGATCAGATGTTTAAATCCAATCTTAGATAGCCTGCTCCGTTAGTAAATAGACAATAATCTTTTATATGATGCACTGGGAGAGGATCTGGTCTATTTATAGTGTCAAATCTCTTGAAGACTTGCTGTCTGGCCTGAAAAGCAGCAGGATCAGATTTCTTTCCTCGAAAGCGAATCAGCTCGGGCCATAAATGCTGACGATATTGACCGACAGGAAGAGCCTGTTCTTTAGAAACTCTGAGAGCAGGCATTTTTATGACTTTGGCCTCATCTCTTTTATGGCTTTGTACACTGAATTTACTATATGGCTACTCTCTGTTTTCCAATCACATGCATTAATATCTGTCTGGCGCCTTGTTTTATTCCAGCACACAGACGCCACCTGACACAATACTTTAAAGACAAGGCATACCAATAAAGCACGGCAAAGGGAAAGCTGAAAAATAAACCGATGGGTTTTAGTGGTATCGCTGCACACATGGATTTTCTGTGTTTAAACACACACTGGGGACCCGTCGAGCTTATGGAAAAATGAGTAAATCAAATAAAGGCATTAAACAAGCAGACGGATGTTTAAATTGTGTCTGGATTTATGTGCGTGCTTGTTTGTGTGTGTCTGCGCTTCCTGTTGTGTAATGAAATTAATCAGATTCTGTAGAAAATACATAAAAAAAGGACTAAACTCAATTACCCACTTTATCGTTTCTCATACATGAGAACAATACATTTTTGGACAAATTGTATAAGTGCAGAATGTAATAAGAGGACCACACATATATGGTCATTTTATTGTTTTTAAATAAAATACAAAATATGTTGAAATAGAAATGTTTCATATTTGGTTATTTTTACAGTTTATTTTTAGGAAATAAATATATTTTAACAGTTGGTCATTTTTAAAGTAAATAAATAAATAAAATTACATATTATTAGATTTAAAAAAAAAATGCATATTTCACAATTTTAACTGTTTTTTAAAAATATAATAAAAATGTTTTTTGATAACAATTACTCACATATGGTTATTTTAACTGTTTTTAAATAACAAATATTTGTTTAGATACATTTGGTCATTTCTACAGTTTTTTTTAATAGAATTTGATATTTTAAGATGGATATAATAATAACAGGGGAAGGTGTTTTTTGTTGTACCTTGTTTCCTCCAGGGGGCTCTTGGCGCTCTGTAGCTGCTTGTGTTGCTTCCTGTCTTTGCGGGACCAGGGTTTGAGTGGAGTTGTTGTGATGTTGTTGATGTTGGTGGTAATGGTGGTAAGGTGGTGTTGGCAGATGGTTTTTGGCTGTCTGTCAAGGGGTCATCAATGCTCTCCATAGTGCAGGAGTGTCGAAGGGGACTCTTGTCGCGTCATAGAGCCTGTGGGAGAGGAAGAGGGGTAAAGGGTTATCATTTTTCCTCCACATTTACACACAGTCACAGCACCATCACCACCACCTTTATAAATCTAAGTAAAGTAAAGTGTCTTGAAAACCTGATGAGCTGTTCTGTGCTAGTGTGTCCCAAAAAGACTGCTCTGTGCATTTGAATATAGAAGTGTTTAAACAGGGTCTGATTCGGTTTGACAGCATAGCTCACATTAATGCGATTGTATTGCCATGACATTTAGTATGCAGAGATTCAAAGGTTTATTAGTCTAATACTAGCAGAATGACATTACCATCCGCCTGCTTTGTGTTTATGGCTTATGAGTTACATTACATTACATGTCATTTGTTAGACGCTTTTATCCAAAGCGACTTACATACTCAATACTGTGGGCAATCCCCACAGGAGACATTTGGGGTGACGTGTCTTGCCCAGGGACACAACAACATGCTGACTGCAGTGGGACTCGAACTTGCTACCCCCTGATTCAAAGTCCAGCACTCAGTTAATATTAACATTCAAACACACTATACTAACATGGCCGACAGCTAAGCATAGCATAATTATGAGTCATCATGACGCTGTAAGCATAGTAGAATGCTAATTGTCACATTTAGCTCAAAGCACTGATGTACACAAGTACAACCTAAAAGTATTGCTGCATTACTTACATTTATGTTTACAAAATAGTGGCCTTTAATTCGTCAAATAGCTGAGTGTATTCCACAACTTCATTAGCTAAACAAACCATTTCAAAACCAGTAGATTATCAGATATCAAAGCTAAAAACACACTTTTTCGAAAAGCTTTCATTTGGAGATATGAGATTTTCTCTTGAACGTTCTCCATGCTAATATGCTAGTTGAAATACACCTGCAGCTCTTCTTACTGGGCACTGTTAGCAGTACAAGCACAGGCCAGCTATCATCCCATTTTATGAAATCAATTTCCCTTTCTTGGCCACATGGAAAGGAAATGATGAAACTGGGCAGTGTATCACACATGGGTGGGCTTTCATTGGCTAGCAGAGGCTCACTTAGCAGATCAATCCCACAAGCTCCTAGCTGCTAATCGGATGCAAACAGACATGCTAACAGTCCCAAAATATTTGCCCGGCTTCCAAAAATGGCGGATTTAGTATTTTCCGAAACGAGACAAGATGTGCCGACTTCCTGGAGACACAGCTCATGGGGAGCAGCAACAGCGCCTCTCTCCCTCGGCCTGTCTGAGGTGGCCAAGCAGCTGTCTTCTTAGCAGTGATTCTGTTCAACCCACTGTTGGATGTGCCTAGAGGGCCCAAAGGGATCAATTACCAAGGCCGGTACCGACCCAGAACCGCGGGGGCTTTGGTGGTGGGGTCAGGGAGATCCCATCAGGCAGCATGAACTATATCCACAGAGACACTGACAGGAAGGAACAGAAAGGAAGTGACGGGAGTCACTGGTAAATGTATAAATGCGTAAATAGTCTGGGAGACACAGACGGCCCCGGGGTTTGTCATGTGACCTGTTTGTGTGGGGAGGAAAACAGGCTTTATGTCCACACACATATAACAAGTCTGTATGATGAGTTTTACCCCCTCTCCACAGTGTATCAAATATTTATAGGCTCATAGTATCAAGCATTATCACCATGCTCCAACATGTTTCCTTTATCCCGACTCCTTTCTCCTCTCCCGATATGTCTTGATTACAGTAATCACAGTCTTTTTCTCAGGAGCTGCCACTTCTGTTCAGAGCACTCTGCTCGCAGCCTAAATACCCCAATCAGGACAGAGCTAATGAACCGTATGATTAAAACCTAGTTACACGTTTAAGGATCTGCAGCCATTTCGATTGTTCCAGTTCCTACATTTTGAGTCACTTTTTAAGTTAAGTTTGTTATTTCTTTTCCAGTTCTTTTTACAAGGAACTAGTAATTGTTATCAGGGTTCATACACTTTTTCACAAATGATTTTCAATGACTTATCCATTAAAAAAGAGGTGTGCTAGTGAGCACGCAGCAGGGTTACTGTGCGGAGTGCATAAAGCAGACCCTTCACGCGATAGCGAGGGGTAGAGCAAGGGATCGCAGATGCCGTCGTGCTCGTGGACGGATTAAAACAATTAAACCTAAATAGCTCGTGAATTATACTTTGGCGGCCGTTAATATACCTGGGCGGCCCGCCCAAGTAAACAGTGGCGGACCTGGGGGGTGGCTGGGAGTGGCCACGGCCACTGGCTATTGTTTATTGTTATTTACTTTGATGTTTATTCTTAACCTATCATTTAATTTAAAAACTCTTATTTAAATGATGTGTGTGTGTCTCTGTATTCCTGATGATACACTGAGAGAATGAGCTCATAGTGCTGCTGATCACCATAAGCTAAACAGTCTGTATATTGCATTACATTTGTATAATGTAAGCTTCGTTGATACTTTGCCTGCGGGAATACGAAAAAGAATAGTTAGATATACTGAATATTATTTGATCTATTCCACCACTTAATCCCAGATAATGTAGAGGTGTGTTGTAGGTGCCTTAAATAACCCCTTATTTTATAGTGAGATGTATTTTTATGTTCATATAATAGTGATTTCAATGCCACCCCAAAATGATCACTGGTTCCATCCTGGCCACCCCACTGAAAATGTCCTGGCTCCGCCACTGCAAGTAGTCTATGTGTGGGAAACCCTGCTGTATTTCACTCACATTGCTATTTTTCTCCTTCACACTGCTTTTCTGTTTTGTAAAAAATGAAATTAAAAATGTTCGTCTAATCAGTCTGTCACAAAAGCTGCCAGATAACCCAAGGTGATTTTGTTTTCTCCTCTAATGGCGCTCTCACTCTTGCCTCTTTCTCACCGAGCACCCTGCGTCGGCACATGCAGAGAGAGATAGCTCCTTTTGTCCTTTCATCTACCAGTCTAAAATGGTGGAGGGCACAATGCAGAGCACCCTCCTCTCCGGAGAGAGGCGGCGGTAAGCCTTTCACAGGGAGAAGGAGGTATAGGAGATGACTGCACAGACTATACATCACTTTCCAAAAAGAGAGTGCTTTGGAGAGGCAGTATTTGACTGTGGTAACTGTGTGATAAAATGTAAATTTAAATCATTTAGTGTCATTGAGGGAGGAATGTATATTTGGAGTGGGGAGTTAACCCCTTGTTAGTGCCTAAAAGTGTTACTCTATCTGGTGATTAGCTGCTTTTAAGCTTTATTGGGGGACGTTTCAAATTGTGTCGTCAGGACACTGGGACTATTACACCAACATGCTTATCCATGGGAATATTGTTATGGTAGTGTTGCATACTATAAGTAAAAACAGACACATTATTTTGTAACTACACGTTATTTAGTAGCTCTGTCAGAATAGGAACCTTAAGGTAGATGTCATTTAACTGTTTAAAAGGGTATGCACACCCGATTTTAAACAAATTGTACATTGAGCCAACAAATAATCTCATCCATTTGACCCACTCCGTCACTTTAAAACATGTCAAAATAAGCCATGTGTTGGGTCACTTATCCACTTGGATTGGGGAAGACTAAAAAGGCAAGACAGAAGAATGACTAAACTTAATTCACCAAGGCAGGGAATTCGCTCAGGTTCAGGCCAAGTCCCATAATACTTAGACATGAGCTATACTTTTTTTATTTTCCAGAAATGGCCATAAGTACCCTTTTGGTCTATAACTGTAAAGTATTACCAAGAAAAAAACATAATTGAATCATCATTTTGCATTTGTTATACAATGATGCCATTACGTTTTATGGAGAGAACGTGCTTAGCTACAGTTGCTAAGTTATGATTGGACAATTGTCATTCAGGGTTGAGGACAATTGCCAGAACACTTGAACATTTGTTATGTTTTGGCAGATATCTCCGGCCAGTACTTCTGCAAGTGATTATTTATCATTTTTATGCCCATTTGTGGTTGCCATAAAGCATTATTTTTGGCAGGCGTCCCCTTTACGTCCTCAGGTGAAACAAGAAAATAAAATTAAGTGGTTACTGATGGCCGTGCAGTTGAGTGTCCGTGCGCATTTTATTGTTTCAATAATGCAGTTAAGGGAACCTGAGGAGCTCATTTATAGTCATAGAATCTGATATGGTTCATTTAAGGGATTCAATTTTCTGTTAGGTGAATTCTTTGGAGGAGAAACTTGTCACTGTGCTGGCGAGACTCTTGATACTGAAATAAATGGTGTGCTCTTGCTTCACAAGTGCACCTCTGCTGATATATGTCCTTTTCAGTTGTGCTGCTAATAAAAGTAACCTCACTCAAAACGTCACTGTCAACGGAAAGCAATGTACATATCAATCTTCATATGCTTCTTCTGGAGCTGGCCCTAGAAAAAAAAAATCCATATTGTGTTTTTATTGACAGGTACAGCGTGTACTCTGCAAACAGGGTCAGACTAAGATGAATGCACAGCGAGGGGGACAGAGAGACAGGGAAGGGGGCGAGTGAAAGTGAAAAAGGAGCCAAGTGAAGAGAAAGTATGCAAGGAAATTATTTTTAATCTGCGGCAATCAGCGGGAAACACAGAGATTGAAGGGAAACACACGGCACACATCAAAATCTGCCATGCAATTTAAACCGAGCTGTCTTGTTGACTTGAGGTAGACAAGAGGTCTGCGGTGTCATCCTGGACAACTGTCTCCATCTCGTTTGACAGAGAAAACACACACTCTCAAACATTTGCCCAATACACAAAAACCGCCTCCTGACATTTGTCCAAAATAGACCTTTATGGGGTTGAGTCAGATTTACTTGGCTTAGTCAAATGCCCCGAGGGATATGTCTGTTTGTCTGCGTTGATGTTTTCGCACAAACACCTGACGGACAGGTCGGACATGCTCACTGGACCGTGCTCCTTCGGCGATATCGGGGCAGTAGTTTGGGTCTAACCTTGAAAAGCCTGAGGGGAAAGGCCAATGTGTTCAAAGTTACCCAGAGGGATTCTGAGAAGTAAATTGTTTGTTTTTGTTTTTGCCCGTCATTCT